ACCAATCAAAATGAAAAATCTTAGACAATATAGTGAGGGAAGAGAAAGACGGGTTGTAGACTCCCAACAAAGTTTTAGATCCCTCACATAATCACATCCAAGCCTTAGGCAAACGACCAACACCACTATGACACATGGACGCTACCAGGCAGTGGGACTGGTTGCTTTGCTGGGGAGACTTTAACACAGTCACAATATAATAAACAATAAAGATTCAACCAATAAAGAAATGGAAAATTCACATCAGGAAGGCCTCAATGCCTCTGAAGATCAGTACTCAGACCACCAAGCCGACACCCTTATCTCATTGACAGACCACAAAGTCACGAGAGAGCTTAATGACACTCTACCAGCATTGTTACCAACCCAAGCAGGCCTTACTTAAGCATGGTAATGAACCACAGTAGAACTTTGGGATTCACCGCCATGTCACTATCATTCCAATATGTAGTTGCATTCATGATATACTAACCTCACAGTAATGCCAAAAACAACCTAAAATTGAATGTAAAAACGCAATACAATTTATCTCTGGTGGAGACCAAAATTCAAACTTGGAAGTTTCTTATGAATACAAACTCAAAATTCAGGGGGGATTATGGTTTCAGATGATAACCCAACTCATATACCAAACCACGAACATATAAAACATCCCAGAAAGAAAAAGGACTTATCTTTACAATCAAAATCAAACCACAAAATTAAGCCCGATCATCTGGATTAAAACCAACTCAATTCACAAAATCTAAAGAGAAAATCAGAGACCACCCCAGAATACTACCGGCATCGTATCACAATCCCAAAAGTTACATAATTCAAGATCGATCTACCCGATTTTCAAATGCTCAAATTAACCCACTTACCACGAGCAAAATACTAAACAATTGGCTGCAAAATTCCCAGAAGCTTTCGTTTCTCAATTATTTTGTACTAGAAAAAAACAGAGAGAACCAAGGAAGGAATCGAGAAAAAGGCTGGCTAAGGAAGAGACAGAAAAAGGCAGCGGAGCGATGGAGGTGATTTACAAATTGCGTGCAACGGAGGGTGGCCGTAGGCAATCTCGACCAACGTAGGGTCGGGCCCGGAGAACTTATGGCTTTGCGCAAAACGACATATATTTATTTATTTATACAGACCTGTAATTTTACAATAAAACAAGAGCTTCAAACCCAAGCAGTACTTATTCATTAAACATTAATCAAAAGGTCTAAAACATCAACCCTGCAACTAGCTTCTTCTTGGAACAACTCTTCTGGCTTTCATCATCTTCCTTCCACTTTGACTTAGTCGGCCATCAAACAAAGACACAAACCATTTTGGTTTTCCTGTACGGAAGACATGATATCCCATCAGCAGTCCAAAAGCAACTCCACACCCATAGCCTAACACCACAACTCTCCAGCCAAATCTCCACCACTCATCTTTCCCTTGGAAGGAGCTCGGCAGTGTCCTACTTACATCACAAGATTTTGACAATGGGAATCCACACAGTCCAGGGTTTCCTTCATAAGAATCATTTCCAAAGGTGTTGAACTGATAGCCTTTTGGTATGGGTCCAACAAGATGATTATTTGAAAGATTCAATTTGGAAAGTCCTGTCAAAGATACCAACTCATCCGGAATTTCCCCTACCAGCTCGTTGGAAGAGAGATCCAACCACTCGAGGTTTGTCAAATTCCCTAGCGACTGTGAGATAGGACCTGTAAGGTTGTTATGAGAAAGATTAAGCCCTTTGAGAGAACTAAGCTTTCCAAAAACATCTGGGATTTCTCCGCCAAACTTGTTTTTTGAGAGATCGATGCTAGTGAATATGGTCAAGATTCTCTGCAGCTCATACTCCAATCCTTTGATTATCACTACCAGTGAATATTGATAAGATCCCGTTCCCATGTATTCAGGGGGACCGTCATCTCTATGAGTGTCCATCATCGCATTAAAATTTTCAATGTACCGAATAGGCAAAGCACCAACAAAATAATTGTTGGAGAGGTCCAGAATTCGCAAGTTGGGAAAAGATGGACCTTCTTTGGTGCTATCCACAAAACCGTGGAACTTGTTGGACCTTAAGACAAGCACTTGAAGCTGTGGTAGAGATTCCAACCAATGAGGGAATGTATCATTTATGTTGTTGTTGCCAATGTCTAGAACCTCTAACCAGCTACAATTCACCAAAGACCTTGGTAATA